CACTGAAGAACTTTTAAGTTATTATTTACACTGTCCTGTTAAATTAGAATTACAGTCGGTTGAAAAAAAGGAAAATGTTATTTATAAATATATATAATTGATTTTATTTTTAGTATAACAATTTGTATAGTTTGTACAGTTCATCGCAGTGAGCATTTTCACTTTTGAAATCAAACAAATAAGTTATTTGTACATTAAAGAAGACCGGATTTAAAATCAAAATTAATAATACTTAGGTATGTATAATACAAGAAAATTTTTAAAAGCGACCAGTGTTCTTCCATTGTCATGATAAGTTTAGAGTACTTGGTAGAGCAGTGTCTTTTTTTTTCTGCATAAATAGATTTAACACAACATGATGACATTTGCACGAAAGCTGACATTCTAGCATGAGTTTTCAAAGTGTACTCAATACTACGAATCAGGTCATTGGTTTTTAAAATTAATAACATGTGACTGTTTACTCTTTGTAAAACTTCAATCATTTTTGGGATCAAATTCGGCATTTCTTTGTAAAAAAGATCTAATTCTGATGACGTATACATTTTTTTTTGTACACCACCGACAATTGTTTCCCATGACCTGCCGGAAATCATACAAACGAGAAGTTCAAACATGCTACCAACTCCTAGATTATTGCAATAATTTCGCATTGCAACCCTGTCTTTATTAAGAATAGAAAGCCACAGGTTTGAGTACTCCCATCTGAACTGATCTGATAATTCAGCGTACAATCCATGATCTAAGAGTACAAGTTCTGTTTTGGTTTTTCTTTTTCTTATTAATATGTTTCCTGGATGTGGATCCGAATGAACAAAGCCAGTGATAAATATCATATGGCTATAAAGTTGACCCAACTTATTAGCAACTTCGTATGGATTGATATTATGATCTTTGTAGTACTCCAAGTCGTTAATTTGTCCCCCTTCAATATATTCCATCGTTAGAACCCTACTAGATGATAAATTCCAAAATATTTCCGGTATGTGTAACCAAGTGTATTGACTAAATAACTTTTTTACTTTCTCAGCATTTTCTCCTTCTTTAATAAAATCCAGCTCTTTAGGTAGATTTTTTTTTGTTTCGGCTACTAACCAATCAAATTTAAACTCTGGGAAAATCCATGAAGTAATTTTAACTAAGGCAGCCATGGTTTTTATATCAACAAATGAATTTGTTTTCACAGCTCGATGCTGTACCTTCACAGCTACCTGCTGACCACCTTTCAATACTGCCCTGTGGACTTGAGCTAAACTGGCAGCACCTAGGGGCTCTTTTTCTATGGACTCAAATATATCATAAGGATCTTTTTTTAAATCTTCTTTCAACACTGCCAGTACATCGGAGAAAGAAGACTCAGGAGCAGATTTATGCAGAATTCTCATTGTATGAACATATTCCTTTGGCAGCAGATAATCAAGTGCACCAATATGTTGACCAACTTTTATGTATATTCCTTTATTAGCACAACAAAGTTCCAGTAATTTTTTGGCTCCATAGGCATGCGCGTCCGATTTTTTAGCAAAGTATTCATTGGAATTTGGATCAAGGCCATTTTTATACAAATGGCTTTTATAATATCTACCAATATCAAAAATAGTAATTGAAGCACGATATAGTCTCATAATACCAGTGGAACTTACATCATACTCATTTGCCCTAAATGATGCAAATGTTCCTAACCCAACAGCACTTACACAAAAAATTTTCAACGTCCTTCTCAACATTGTCATTTTGGATGTAGAGTAACTGCAAAATTCATTTATCAGTATTTATGAGATCAGGAAAATCATATATGGTGTTGCTTTTGCACGTTTTGTGAATAATTTAATATTTATTATTTTACTTACATTTCAGGCTAAATTTTTAAGGCAGATACAATATTCAAGTCAGTGCTAATCAATCACAGCACATTATTTTGGAGCTTGTTCACATATGTTGCAACAGGTGAAATAAAACTAAGAGAGTATTTACTAAAAAAAAAAAAGCTTTAAGTGTTGAGCGCGCTGAACCTGCCTGATCATCCACCTGTGTGATGGTAATATATGGTAATATTATGGCAGTGTGGCACTAAGCGGGTTTGGAACAGGGTTGCCAGATTATCTCCTACTGGCGTTGAAATGAAAATAAGTCTAGGCCTAGGGCCTAGCCCAACCTTCTGTACATGAAGGGATGTGTTTCTATATTCTCTGTTTATAGGAGTTATAAGTAACAAAAATTATTTTTCCGCCCTCGGGTGGTTTTGGGAGGCTGGTACTTCCTCGGGCGAAAAAGCAGTTTTCCGGAACTCGTTCGAAAAGTCTCCTTTACGAACCTCGTTACGGACCTCGCCTTCGGCTCGGGCCGCAAACCTCTCGGTTCGCAAACAGAGACTTTTCAAACTCGTAGGAAAACTACCATTTCTTACCATGGGCCCAAAGTGCAACTGCCGCTTTGCGCCCTCGGGTCACACTTTGCGCCCTTGTAATCACTTTGGGTCCACGGGCAGAAAAGTTTTTTGCGCCCTAAGAAAAACATTATACGCGATACCATTGAGAATTTAAAAATAAAATGTGATTCGTAAGATAAAATAATATGTGCTTTACATAACAAATGTCCTATGTAATTGAAATACATTATAAATTTATGTAATACTTTGGCTACAATATACCGATGCCTTGCAGGAAGACCAGCATAGTTCAGATTTTCCTGTTTAAAATAATATCGAAAAACCTGAACTGTGCTGGTCTTCGTACGAGACGTCGATACGTACTTGTATGTGAAAAAGGCCACCATGTATTTTGTGTCATGGCAAAAAAATGTTCTCACAAAATTTGCCAATAAAAATTAATCAATAATTACCTAGCGTATAAGATAATGTTCGGCAAAGTTGCGGTAGTAATGTTTTTGCACGAGTTTTGCAGGGGAGAGGATAAACTGTACCATTTACTTTTCAATATCGTGATCAAGAAAAAAAATCATAAAAATGCTTACATAGGATCTTCACGTATCGACATGTTCCTCAACTTTTGTAAAAGTTGCGGCAGGTATTTTTTTACACTTTTTGAGTTCAGCTCCCGGTCTAGAACGAGCAGTATACATTTCTCTTGTAAGGCTATGTTCTATTGTGAATAGCCCTTACAATTATCTTTCATATCTTTTTAAACCAAGGAATGATAACGCCCTTAAGTTCGACAATAGAATTATTGCAAGTGTGACAAAACATCTTTTTTCAACAAATGTTAAAACAAACAATTTTGTAATAAATGGCTGTACTCACCAGTTTGAATGTTAGTTATTGTGCTAAAATTTTCTTATTTACGTAAATGTTTGTTTCCTAATCTTTGCAACAATTTAATTTATGCCTAATAATGTTTAATTTCAATGTTTTTGCAGTTTATCAAGTATTTTTAAAGTTTCAAGAAAAATATCTAAATGTGAATTACTTTTTTAATTTATAATAATTTGAAATTCTCCTGTGCCTGTCACAGATAAACAATTAGTGTTTAATTAAACATTTAATTGAACTTCTAATTTTTTTTTACAAATTACAAGTTACACAAAAAATAGAAAAAAACCATCATTGTTTTATGATTTAATTGAATTGAAACTTTATTTTCAAATTTGATGCTGCAGATCTTACAAGCCATGCAGAACTTTGTAGTAAAGCGCAGTTTCCACATAAGTTCAGCAGTGAATAAAAGTAAAGCAGGTCGTTATAAAATAACATTGAAGAAAAATAAGCCTTTGACATATGAAATGGCAAATCCGCCACACCACGTTGCTCATAGAAAGTCCTGGAACTCTTGGAATACCTGTATGAATGAAATATGGATAACATAGAGCTTACACTCAATTATTTACATTAGTAATGCAATTATTAATTTGCAGCTAACATTGTTGATGGAAACAGACCAATGGAAAGTACAATTGAGGATATGTTCATCAGAAGATTTATGACAGGAACATGGCATAATCTTTTTTTAAGTGAAATCATCATTAAACGAAATCATAACATGGTAAGAATAGCAGGACTGATTAGACGACAATTTGATCAAAAGAAAATGTACTTTTTGACGGGTTACACTGAAGAACTTTTAAGTTATTATTTACACTGTCCTGTTAAATTAGAATTACAGTCGGTTGAAAAAAAGGAAAATGTTATTTATAAATATATATAATTGATTTTATTTTTAGTATAACAATTTGTATAGTTTGTACAGTTCATCGCAGTGAGCATTTTCACTTTTGAAATCAAACAAATAATAAATTACAGTTAGCTGCTGTCACTTAATAAAGATGCTAGTTTTGAAAACCTGTCTTGCCATTTTTTTTCAACTTCTTGTAGCTTGTGCTAAAAAAAGCGTTAGGTTTTGGTATGTATGTACCTACATGTATAGACATATGTAACTTGCACATTATTACCTGCATAATATGAACACTACGTTGTGTAAGCACCACGAGAACTTTTACTCCATCACCAGCTAAATCTAAGTAACTAATAGAATAAACTGGAGCATCAAATGATTTTTTGTCTATCATGTTCCAAGTGTTATTTGAAGAAGCAAAAATTAAAACTTCATGTTTGTATGTTCCTAATAAAATTTCGTTTTTACCATCCATATTTATATCTGCTACACATGAACATAAAATACAGTCTGATGTTGATTCTTTTAAATTAAGTGTTATGTCGGAATTCATTTCTTGGTTTAAAATATCTCTATAAAGTTTATAATAATTACACTTAACAGGATAATTTCATTTTTTTATTTTAGAATAATTACAAATTTAAGCTCATTAACTAAAATTAACATATAGAAGTGGATGGTTATGGAAAATATTTTACTTAATTTACTTACTGAAATATAGCTGCTGTATTTCCAGAATTCAAAAGAATGTTAAGTTTGAATCCATCAGTTGAATCTAAAAGAACAATCATGGATTTCCTTATGTGTGAAAATAATTTCATAAAACCAACCAAAAAGTACAAAGTCTTCACAATAAAATTTTACATACGATTTTCAGTCTTAAAATATGGAGGTTTTTTTATATCATTTCTGTGTGGGAAAATTCTTATGTTGCCAATAGGATTGTCATACCTCAAGAGCCAAGTTTGAGCAACTTTTAATTTTAGAACATCTACTTTTGCCAATTTGAATAAACCACACTCACAAGAAATTGCGGTCAGTCTCCTGGAAAAAAAGAAACTCCTGTCAAAAACATTAATTAAAATATATCACTATATTTATACCATTTGAAATCGTCAAAGTAATAAATATCTATCCACAGGGCAATCGTTTTTAATTCATGAAGCTCAGGAAAATATTTTTCTAATTGTGATTCTGTGTAGCTGTGATTTTGCTTATCCTCTTTTATAAGGTGAATTTTATTATCATTTCCAGATATAAGCCAAACAATCTAATAAGAAAAATAAAATCGAAAATTCAGAAAACAATGCACAATAATCTAAATATCTTGTCAAAGATTTCATCATTTAAAAAAACTTACCTCAAATGAAACTTACCTCGTTGTTGGTTGATTGTGGAATAACAGTATGATACAGCAAATAAGGAGTGTATGATAATTCAACCATCAAACAGTTTTGTGCTATGGTTTCTAATGAATTATTTTCTTCACCTTCACCTGCCCCTTCCGTGTAAATGTTCAAGTATCTTTCCATCGAGGTTTCACCAGTAGGCTTCATTATAGTTATTCCTATGACAAATTCATCACCAGTGTTTGATTTGTTGAAGGCATCTATGGCGATGATTTCTGCTCCATCTTGAAGAAACAGATAATACAAATAACAATTAGGACAAAAAAGGTAGTATTTGAAGGTACCAAAATCTGTGTAGTAGTGTGTACACCAACATTTTGTTGAGCACAATAGTCAACAGGTCACTATTTTACTAAGTAATAAAAAAATAGTCCAGGAGAAGATGCAGAATGCTTAATTTTAAATTTACATGAACACTACTAAAAAGGGAAGAAAAAATAGTGACATTTCATTACTTGGTATGTAAGTGAAAAGAAGTTCTTTGACTAGAGGATTTAATCTCGATTTAGAGTGCTGCTGATACTCAAAGGAGTAAATTGTTCGTTTCAACGATGCAACCAATACTTTGCTTGATCCTCTAAATGAATCCAAAGTTGCCAATGAATAAATGTTGCCTTGGGAAGCCAAAGGAAGCCAATGTCCATGAATTAGTTCAATCATTTTGTACTTAATTGCGTATGTAAGTGCTTGATAGAAATGTTTGTCAGAAAGAAAGTGTAAATCACTTTTAATTTGTTTTTTTGGTAATATAGTTCATCTGTTCACGTAAATATTACATGAACAATTGGAAAATCTAAAAAAATGTTCAATGACACTTCCCCAAAGACTGTTCAGTGTTTAACGCACTGTTTACACTTTAGCCTTTTGTCCGAAAGAGTTTATCGCACTTTTTTTCACTCTAGCATTTCGAATCCTTAGATTCGTTTGAGGCTCAAACTCTCGGAGTACTGAAAAGTCTGAAAATTGAAAGGCCAAAATATAGATATACATTTCAATGTACAGCTTTGTTTAAGAGTTAGAGTTAGAGCCTTAGAGGCTCCGGAGGTCCGGAGAGTCCGGAGAGGTCCTCGAAGTCTGAGCTAGTAGACCAAGAGCTGATACCCGAGAATAATCTAAAATTTAATCCAGCCGCCACTCTTCTCACAATTGAGAAATCCCATCAATTGTAAAGATCCAATGTACTTTTGTTATATTTCATTCTGGTAAAAAGAATTATGTGGTAATTATATATAGTGTGGTCGCGGTGGCGCAACGGTAGAGTTGCAGTTCCGTCGATCTCCGAGGTTAAGCGGCATTCGGCGCGGTTAGTACTTGGATGGGTGACCGTTTGGTCACCATTCAAGTCTCGCCGTTTCGCCTGTGCTCTTGATTCTCGAAGGTCGATTAACTGTTTCTCTGACGCTTCGTCTACATGAATCATAGGTGTGACTGAGTTTATAGTTGGTCCAGAAGCTTATATACATATACATACATAACTCAGGTGCACCGGTGGCTAATTAACACTATGCTTGTGTAAAAAAATGCCAAGTCTGAGCCTACGGGCGATGATAAATGAAAAAAAAAAAAAAAAATTATATATAGTAGTGCCATGTAGTCGATTTTATGAACCAGCCACAACTTAACCGTAAAGACAAACTGTTACAGGTTGTCTGGCTCGAAAGCAATTTGCGACAAAGTAAGAATATATCTTCTACCCAAAAATCGACTTTAAGAAAATTAACCCCCTAAACAAAAACAAAATCAAGCCACAACTTTGTCTATATTTTTAGAGGTCGATCTTCGGGTAAAAGATAAACCCTAATCTTGCCGCAAATGGCATTTATTATTTTCTGTCCGTTGGTCTGAGTTGCGGCTGCTTTATAAAATAGACCATATAACATTACTATAATTACCACGTAACTCTTCACCAGAATACGAAATATGACAAAAATCGGATCTCTACGAGTCATGAGGTTCCTCAATGAGGGCTCGTGCACATGGAACCGCGTAAAGCGTGAAACGTAACACGTAAAATTATAGGATTAGGGAAAATTAGGTAAGGTATACGCTTTACGCGAAAAAATTCATCATCGTGCACATGGAAGTAGTAAAAAATACGCGCGTAAGTGTTTTTAAACCAATCATAGCGAGTATTTCGTTGGCTTTGCACATGCTGTCTTGCTCGCACTCATGGCAAAAATAAAGTTACGCCCGTATTTTTGTGCCCATGTGCACGATGATGAATTTTTTCGCGTAAAGCGTAAATAAAGTACGCAATCTGTGAATACAGTTAGAGCAGCTAAATGTTAACAATAGCAATAATTCAAGTGTCAATTGTAAAATTAATTGGATTTTCAACTTGGATAAAAAACCAAATTGTAAGAACTTTGAGCAAATTGTGGAAAGTCTATACGACCTATGCAATGACCCAATATCGCAAAGAAAAAAAGTGAGAAGTGTAATGATTAAGCCTCAGATTAAGCTGTATGAAATGTTACTATTTACGGCTCTCAAATAAAAATAAAAAAAGAAGTATATAATTACTTGAAAACTTTTTTTTTGACATGTACAGGAGTGTTTCTAACAACCAAGAGTTCTCGCGCAAGCGCACAATGATTTTACTGAATTTTACTCTCTCCACGTCAGGCAGGCACTGCCAGGCAGTGGAGGGAGAGCTCTCCCTACCGTACCTTTAACCTAAGCCCCGCCTACTTTCACAACTTCAATATTATCTAATGCTATTATATTCCTTAGCTGTCGTAGTCGAGCGGATAAACTCTTTTGTCTGCGCGTTGAATCTGACAAACTCAGGTTCAAGCCACGATCCCGATTTTTTTTTTCTTGTTAATATTAATTTAAAATAAATAGGGCCTAGCCCAACCTTC